CTTTAAAACCCAGCATCACTAATAAAAAATGAAATGTTTAGTAGTCGGAATAGTATCATTACCTCGTAGGCCGATTACTCCACCTGTGATACATCCAGCTAGTGCTGTGTTACCAGTACCACTTCTACCACGATGCTGACAGAAAAAAAAATTATAAAATGGGAAACTAGTACTACTTGTTATCATGATTTGAATATAGTACAATGCACTGTATCAATAATTAATGAAAACATTTGACACTCTTTCTATGTATCATAACGTTTCTGATTTGTAGCAGAGCATATATGGTTACATATCACTATCATCTGGATCTGGTGGGTGAAAGGTCATACAGTCTCAAGAACTCTCGCTTCAAAAATCAGCTGACCCTTCATGTTAACTATATCAAAACTCGCGAGAGTACGGTAGCTAGCACAGAAACAACTTGGCGGATTGACCTCGAAATGCCATATCAGGTTTCTGCGCCATTATAACAGTGTATCTATCGCCATTGAAATAGTTTTGGAGTAATTTTACACATTGTCAGCTGGTGTTGCTGGGAAGTTTTCACAGAGAAAAATATATTTGAGAAAGATTTTATGTTGTACTGCAGCACGGGAGTGCGCGGCTCAAGAAATATATTTATGATTTGAAAATTCAAACGGCAATTCAGAGTATGACTATCAAACAGCATTCTGTATACCAAAATATGGCGGCCAGTCAGAGGATTATGAATCCAATCTGGAAACAAAATTTCATGCCTCCAGATCCACTCTTTATAGAGACTATAAACAGATGATCCCTTTGCATATATACACAAATGTATGTGACCAATTTAGAAAGTAGAATATAACCTGAGGCACTCATTTGCTGAATCACATGAAAACTTGCAAGATGCAGAAAATGGCCTGTTACATGCTGCATTATTTTACTATTAATTAAAAACGAGCTGATACTCACAGATTCTATAACACACTCGGTACATGCAAAGACAGCACCAATCATAGCAAAGTTCTTGGCATGGTAGAGAGATCGCTTTCCCATATCTTTTAAAACCTCTTTAGCTTTTTGCTTAGCAGCTAATTCAGGATCAATTGGATCTACACTGGCAGCAAACAGACCAATCGCAGCACCCAGACCAAATCCTGAAATAATTCATAATGATGTTTGTTTTCAAATATTAAAAAGAAAACATGGAAATATAGGTGATCCCTAAAAGCACTGTCTGTTTACCTGTATACCGGTATATATCAATAAGGCATAAGCAAACCTAAATAAATTATATGATACTACGTCAAACACAAAATCACAAATTACTAAACTAAACGGAATTGTTTGCAAGCATGAAAATAATTCATGAATCATTTGGACAAGTTACATTGTCAATGGTCATATGAACTATCTAATGTAAAGTGATATATTAATCTTGATTGAACATTGATTGATTGTAAAGAGAATGGGTGTCTGTCATAACAGCATCAGTGTTTATTTGTTCAGCACTCTCCTCATTCATGCGTTTGTAGTACAATAATCAAATAAACAGCGGTGGTACACTTTCCACAAATGAATATGCCACATGCTAGTCTGTTCCTTTAGTGGCCAGAATCATTATATAGGTAGACATGGTTTCCAATTTCTGTCATATATACTGTAGTCAACCCTCATTAGTATGTGTTTTTATACACGAGGACACAAACTGAAGAAACTTGGCAGCAGTGGGCTGTACTAGTCCATATTTAGGCCTGAATTTACGTACGAGTCAGTCTGTGCACACGAGTTCCCATGGTGACGTCATGAATACAGCCAATCAGTGATGACACAGAATTCTGTGTAGTCTACGCATTTAAGCAGCGATTCACCAGACCATTCTTGAGTGCACTAAGAATTCTGAATGGCAGGATTCCAGGCTTATTCTTAATATATAGACATTCGTTTGTGCTGTTCACTAAACATTAAATTATTATAATATAACATAACTACAAAGTAAACAACACACCAGTGACAGTTATTGACTGATTTTACGTGTTATTATTTTTCTTAACACTTCGGACAATCACAGCACTATAACCAAGTTTCCCAGTCACAGTAGCGACAACCATGGTCGTACTCTATAGTACGTCCATGCGACAACAAATTTGAAACCGAGTCAGAGCAGCTGTAGCAACATACATACAGTTATTTGCAAATTTATTTAATGTTTCTGTTCGCCTAAGATACCCGGGCTTAAACTGACATCTGTCGCAATCACACACACGTTCAATTACACTAGCCATACTATTTACTAGAATGTGGTCATGTACAGCTCTCGGTAATGCTTGACCTTACCATGCATGCACTAGGACTAGAACTTACCCAGGACACAACTCAATACGCTTTTGAACGTGCAGCTCTCCAGTACTTTTTCAATGATCAGTTCGTCTTTAGACTTCGGCATTTGCGGTAAACCGAACATTTTTGGTTCCGCTTGTCCTTTTCTTTTTTCTCCAATCAGCATGTCTACCATCTGTGAGTTAATAAAGGGGTTATCTTCAGAATACTTTTCATCTTCGTGCACACCGGCTTCGCTGGACGCCGCCATGTTGAATGTGTTGCTAGTGCGCCCCCAGGCCAGATAATTTCTGATGATTTTGTTTTGTTTTTTATTTATGGTTTTTGTCACAGGCTGTCGCCCCGCGCAGCATTCCTCTATCAGCCAGCAGTCTTACCACTTTGTTTGTCATGAAAATCTCATGTTGACTGCATTGGTGCTGGTGATTT